TTACTACACATCTAATTCAATTCAAGTTCAAGTCCATGTGAAATCAAAATTGACTCTATTTTAATTTATTACATTTTATATTCTTGAGATGACCATCAGTGTTGGGGAAAGTTACTTTTAAAAGTAGTGCATAACAGTATTGAGTTACTCCAGCAAAAGTACGGGAGGTGCTGGTGTTGTACTTTGCATCCTTTTTTTTTCTCGATGTCATGTTTCTTGCAGTTGTCAAGAGTTTTATTTACACATAATCTACACTTAATGGCAATCCACATATTTACTTAGATGAGTTCCAAATAACTATAATCCATAGCAAAAATGTAAGTCTTCGGCCTGCCATTGATTCTGTTTCTGACTGTCTGTAGTGTTGACTGTTTTTGTATTTTGAGTGGATTTGTTCTTGCTTGCTATTTTTCCACCAAGATCCATCCATCCATCAAATTCCATTCCAGTCCAGTCTATTCTATTCTATTCTATTCTATTCTATTCTATTCTATTCTATTCTATTCTATTCTATTCTATTCTATTCTATTCTATTCTATTTATTGATCCATCCAACTAAACCCTCCATCCATTTCAATACACCCACCGACCCATGCATCCATGCTTCCATCCATTCATCTATCCATCCATCTATCCATCCACCCATCCTTCCATCCATCGATTTATCCTTTGCATTCCATTCCATCCATCCATCCATCCATCCATCCATCCATCCATCCATCCATCCATCCATCCATCCATCCATCCATCCAATTCCATTTTATTTAATTCCAATCCAATCCAATTCATTCCATTCCATTTATCGATCCATCCATCCATTCCAATCCACCCACCCACTTATCCATTCATCCATCCATCCACCCATCCATCCATTCATCCATCCTTCCACCCATCCATCCATGCATCCATCCATCCATCCATGCCTCTATCCATGCATCCATCCATCCAATCCATTTCATTCCATTTCATTCCTTTACAATCCATTCCATTCTGTCAAGCACTTCTTATGAACATGTCGCTTAGAATTTAAATCTTAAATTTGTCATATTTTGCTTTCATACAAGATGTAATATATCTCTCAGCTGTTCCAGAATGTGTCTGTGAAGTTGCAGTACAAAATTTTTTTTTAACTTTTTCTCTAACACCCTTTCTAAAAATGGGCTGTTGCCTTTCCTAGTTTACCTACTTATACTACATCCTAATAGTATGTAAGAAATGAGACATTTGTTAAGTGTGTATAACACAACCGAAGGCAAGCTTTGGGACATACTACTTCAGCATAATTGCATCTTTAACAGACCGTTCAGTTGCATAGTTATGAGCATTCCGTTACCACTCTGTTAAAATCTTGTGACAGTTAAAATCCTCCATATTTATTTCCATTTAATTTAATTCCAGACCATATGGTAGATGAAGCAGCACATTAATCTGCCATCCGCAGATCTTTCATGCATAGAAATCTGCTCACGTGTTTGCATACTGATGCCTTCAAAAGTTAATGACAAAATGAATCTTCAATACAGTTCACAATGCTGTTGCAGATGAAACATAGCACATTCTGTCTTACACTGATTGCATGTTCCATCAGGTTAGAGATTCATTTAGTCATTTAGTCATGAGATTCATTCAAACTCTTTATCTAAAACTCTCTACTTAACCCTAACTTCCACTACATTTGCAGTTTTTTCATTCATTCTCCTTCAGCTAGGTTCTTTTTTTATCAGGGGTCGCCACAGTGGAATGAACCACCAACTATTCTAGCATATGTTTTATGCAGCGAATGCCAAATTCAAGTTGGTTTTAATTAGTTTTTAGAGGCAGATTTACTAGTTTTTATTAGTTTTTTTATAGTTTGACATTGCTTTTGTTTTAGTTTAGTTTTTATTAGTTTCAGTGTTAGTTTATTTTTTTTGTTTGTTGTTTTTTGTAAATTAGGATATTTGTTATGTGCAAGATTCAAAATCATCAAAATAAATATTGTGTAATAAAAGCTCAACCAAAGATAGGCAACCATAGATTATTTGACACAAGAACACTTCCATCTACCCATGCCCAAATTTAAATAGGCTACAACAGCCCACAAGATAGCAGCTTTAAGTAAAATATATGTTTAAGGCTGCTTTTGAAGTTAAATAAACCATAGTGATGGGAAGCTCAGATTTTTAACGAACTGGATCTTTAGTGTCAATCTTACCAAGTTTGGACTCAAGATATCAAAAATATGTAGTCTGCACAATTTGAGTCCAAATTGTCACCAAGATCACCAAGATCTGAAAAGTTTCTTACAATTATATTTTGCAACCCAACTGAAGCATGATTCACTTATTTAAATTCTATAATGACTTTCTGTTATAAAATAAACTTTTGTTTCGCCAGATCCTCTCATTTTCAGGCCCTTGGTTTAGCTGCACTTCAATTGTTCAAGTTTAGTTCAATCACAGTGGGCTGCCATGAACTGTTTGTGTTCGGTTCACTGAATTATCCATGTGCAGTGTTATCGGTTCACCACTTGTGTGCTGGTTTAATAACTGAGTAACTCAGTATATATTAGATTATTTCAACTCGGAGGGGGTTATCAGGCATGTTAAAAAGTAAATTCTTTGTGGATAAGTGCTTACTGTTACTGGGAATGCAACTCATTTCAAATAATTCAGTTCAATTGGTGAACTAGTTCAAACAATCCACTATGAAGATCCGGTTTAAAACATTTCACTCACGATTAAAATCACTAATATATAAATAAAACCCATTATTGGGTACAAATGTGTTAAATTAATACTTTCGAGTCTCTGCTCGGGTCATATTGAAGGTTATCACCAGGTTGCTGTCCAGCTGTTTTTTTTTTTTGTCCTGGGAGCAACAGCGAAGCCTGACTCGAGGAGCACTGGCTTGATTTGGCCAATGGCAATAGGATTACAGACTCTGAGGTGCCGTATGGGTCAAACACCTGGCATTAAGCTTGCAGTGCGAAGTAAATAGGTTTACTTCTAAGAGTTAGTTCTATTTAAAAAAAAAAAAAGAACTATCGTTTTTATTTTTATTTCAGTTAACAAAAAAAATAATAATAATAATTCTCGTTTTTGTTAACTATAATAACTCTGACGTAAATACGGGAAGAACATGCAAACTCCACACAGAAATGCCAACTAACCCAGCCGGGACTCAAAACAGCAACCTTCTTGCTGTGAGGTGACCACCGTGCAACCAGTTTCCAAACATTTATGAGTTTCTGGCTGAACTATCCCTTTAAAAAAAAACTTCATTACATGGACAGGCTCACAAACCAATTCCAGCTTGAAATGTGATGAACAAATGGCTACAATTCGACTGACATGACAATTAAATATAAACTCCTTTCCTCAAATAGAGTTTCTTCAGAAGAACGTGTACAGCATTAGCTAATAAACAAATGGACAATCTACAAAACGAATGAACTAATAGGATTTGATATGACAGGAACTGACTTTTGGGTCACAAAGGGCATGCCGAACCTGTCAGAGATTTGAAAAGAAGTCGTCTAATTGTGCTGTTATTGTAATTTTTCAGTGATGGAGCGGGTGTCAGCGTATACGCCAGAAACACCAGTGGCGTCTGTCTGAAGAATCACTCCAGATGGCCTGCAGGAGCTCGAGCCTTCATCGACACGTATGATGAAGAGACGCGGTGTGTGTCGTGCATGTTTCAGTGTGTGAAGAGAAGGTGAGCATAAGGGAAGCAGCCGAGGGGTGAAGGAACATCTGGCAAACAGGTCTCTTCGGAGCCAATCGGGCTGAGGCAAATCGCTGCTTAAAGGCCTCCAATTTTGGCCTTTTAACAAGATGTAAAATAAGTATTTTGTGTCTTCAGAATGCTTCTGAGACATTTCAGCTCGAAATACAGTGGAGGAAACAAGTTTTAAACACTTTTCCTGGAATAATATTTCTAAAGGAGCTGTTGACATGGAATTAAAGCATAATTTGGTAAGAATCCAAACAATACAAACATAAAAACAAAACAAATCTGAAAACGTGTGTAATAAAAATGGAATGACACAAGGAGAAAGTACTGAATACTGAAACGTATTTAATACTTTATATTAAAGTCTTTTTTAGTGATGACAGCTTAAAGACGCCTCTCATATGGAGAATGAAGTCACATGAATTGCGCAGGTAAGTTTTTTTCACAGACTTCATTCATTTTCTTGTCAGCTTAGTCTCTTTATTAATCCGGGGACGCCATTTTAAAGCGGAATGAACCGCCAACTTATCCAGCAAGTTTTTACGCAGCAGATGCCCTTCCAGCCGCAACCCATCTCTGGGAAACATCCACACACACATTCACACACACACACACACACACATACACTACGGACAATTTAGCCTATCCAATTCACCTGTACCGCATGTCTTTGGACTGTGGGGGAAACCGGAGCACACGGAGGAAACCCACGCGAAGGCAGGGAGAACATGCAAACTCCACACAGAAATGCCAACTGAGCCGAGGTTCGACCCAGCGACCTTCTTGCTATGAGGCGACAGCACTACCTAGTGCTCCACTGCCACGCCCTACACAGACTTCAACAAAGTGTAAAAATCTTGATGGTTCTGTGGGTCTCACCCTAAAGGGGAAATAAAGTTTACATTATTCTGTACATTGGATTCCTCTTTAATGAAAATAAATATATATATATATATATATATATATATATATATATATATATATATATATATATATATATATATATATATATATATAAACTTGATTAACATAACCATTTAGAATAAATTGGCTTTTTTTACTATAGCTTTTAGACCTAGGACGCCGCATCTTGGAATATCGCATATTCACATATTAAAGTGAATTTCTTATACGATCATGCTGTACACAACAGTCTCTGGACTCTGATCCCAGACATCAGTATGTGAACCATTTCTAAAAAAAAATAAATAAAGACTTTCTGACAATATGATATTAGACATGGTTGTATTGCAATCATGATTTCCAAAAGTATTACAGCGCTTTGTAAACATTTATTATTAATATTTGTTGAGCCTCCAGTTAAAGTTTAGAGCACCTGCACCTGGACATTACACTTAACAAGCAGATGTCAAACGTACATCACATGCGATGACGTAAATGCAAGTAAAACATACCTGTCACTGAAGTAGCCACGCCCCTTTATTATGCAGATTCATATCAATTCAGTGGATTAAACGAGACACAGTGTGTGTGTAGTGCATGTTTAAGAGCGTGGAGAGAAGGTGAGCATACGGGAAGCAGCCGAGGGGTGAAGGAACATCTGGCAAACATGTCTCTTCGGAGCCACTCTGGCCGAGGCGAATCGCTGCTTAAGTCACAAACTTAACATTGCTTGCCGCCTCATGCATAAAAAGCGAGTTCACCCATGAATGAATTCTTCAAACGCATCATTCTAATGGAGCCTCTGAAGCAGAAGCCGAGTGGGAAAGTGTGGAGCGCTCCATTTGTTGCTGGATTTCGCAGAGAACAGTGGATTGTGAAGCAGGTGCGCTTTTTTTTTTTTTTTCTCCTGAAGGATTTTCATTTGCTTAAAGTTCAGAGAGTCCTCTGGCGAGCTTTATTTTCAAACGATAATATTACCAGTGCGCTGTAATGTAAAACTCTGGCTTTTGAAAGATATTTGGGTTGAGAACAGTACTTCAGGCTTTTAGTCTATACTGTTATGTTGGAACTAAGAAATATTCTACAGTTGAAAGGGTAGATATGTATTAATGCTGCGGTGCTGCATTATAGACGTAGTTATAAAAGGATATCATGGAATCAAAATACACATATCTGCATATACACTCGTCGGCCACTTTATTAGGTACACCTGTCCAACTGCTCCTTAATCAGCCAGTCACATGGCAGCAACTCAATGCATTTAGGCATGTAGACATGGTCAAGACGATGTGCTGCAGTTCAAATCGAGCATCAGAATGGGGAAGAAGGGTAATTCAAGTGACTTTAAATGAGGCATGGTTGTTGGTGCCAGACTGGCTGTTCTGATAAACTGCTTATATACTGGGTGTATATACTGGGATACACGCTTAACTACCTCTAGGGTTTATAATGAATGGTCTGAAAAAGAGAAAATATCCAGTGAGTGGCAGTTCTGTGGGCGCAAATGCCGTGTTGATGAAAGAGGTATGCAGAAGAGCATCTATGAACATGTTGAACCTTGAGGTGGATGGGCTACAGCAGCAGAAGACCACAACAGGTGCCCCTCCTGTCAGCAAAGAACAGGAAACTGAGGCTACAATTCGGTCAGAATTTGGCGTCAACAACATAAAAGCATGGATCTATCCTGCCTTGTGTCAACGGTTCAGGCTGGTGGTGGTGGTGTAATGGTGTGGGGAATATTTTTTTTGGAACACTTTGGACCCATTAGTTCCAATTGAGCATCGTGTCAACGTCAACAGCTACCTAAGTATTGTTGCTGACCATGTCCATTCCTTTATGGCCACAGTTTATCCATTTTCTGCTACTTCCAGCAGGATAACACGCCATGTCATAAAGCTCAAATCATCTCAGACTGGTTTTCTGAACATGACAATGAGTTCACTGGACTCAAATGACCTTTACAGTCACCTGCTCTCAATCCAATAGAGCACCTTTGGGATGTGATGGAACAGGACATTTGCATCATGGATGTGCAGCCGACAAATCTGCAGCAACTGCGTGATGCTATCATAACAATATGGACCAAAATCTCAGAGGAATATTTCCAGTACCTTGTTGAATCTATGCCACAAAGGATAAAGGCAAAAGGGGGTCCAACCCGGTACTAGTAAGGTGTACCTAATAAAGTGGCCGGTAAATGTATTTAGCTTTTTCCAAAAAAAAAAAAAGACTGTCTTCCCAAAATGTCATCTATACCAGTCAGAACATTTTTATGTTACTGAATTTACATAGGGCTAACATTTAAAACTTACTAAAAGTTTCCAAAGGGTAAAAATAATTATGATTATTTTTGAGAGTTACAATAGCAAACATGAAGTTTTCTCTATAAACTGCAAAAGTTCAAAGAAGAAACTTTTTTTCAAAACCGTTTTCTTCTTCAATTTTTTGTCCTCTTTCGATGAGTAAATCCTCACATCCTTATCTGCAAAATAAAATGGCCCTTATTTATTTGCCACTGCCTGCATGCTCTCAACAGATGTTACAGTGCGCAATTACTGCGAAAAACAAACAAACAAACACTCATACAAAATTTGGTGTCAAGCGGAATAGAAGTAAATGCAACACTGCACATATATTTCACATTCAATTAAACTCAGAAGTCGTAATCACAATAGCACTGTCAACAGACGTGCGCAGCAAAATCTCCAGCAGTTTGCATTCGCCTTTAGCCCAACTGCTTTTTCACAAAGCTTCAGTGTTCAGGGGAGAGCGAGTCTACACTAATCTCCTTGGGAACAGCTCTGTCTCACCATATTCTGCATGTTCAGTAGTGTGTTCATGTGCACACAGGTTTGAGATGTCTGCCAAAAAACTCCATTGTCAAAAAAAAAACAAAAAAGCTGGCACCAAAACCTTGGTGTTCTGAGGTGAAAAACACACACACACACCTGTCAGCACATACTTTTGCATGTGCTTCAGATGTGATATAACACCTTTAGAGAAAACCAGATGCGTTTCTCTAACGAACATGGGGTGTACACTACAAAAAAGGCTTTTCATATTAAGATTTCTTTGTCTTGTTTCTAGTCCGAATGTCTAAAAACTTTTAAATCAAGCAGCATTTTCAAGACAAGCAAAACACACTGTCTTGTTTGAAGATATAATATGCCAAAATTAAGTGAGTTTTTCCTTAAAACAAGCTAAATAATAAATAAGATTAAAAAATAAGATTATTTGCTCACCCCATTGGCAGATTATTATCTTAAAACAAGACAGCATGTTTTGCCTGTCTAGAAAAATCAGCTTGATTTAAGAGTTTTTACATATTTGGACTAGAAACAAGACAAAAAATCTAAGTAAGAAAAGCATTTTTTGCAGTGTACTGTACGTTTACAGTAACACTTTACAGTGAAAACAATGATTTATTGGGTTTACTCTCTTTTTTTAAGGTAAGTGGTTATTAACAATTGATATTGGCTGAATTGAAACAAACAAATTTAGTTGAACATTACAAAATTTAATTAGTTTGTTTAAAATGTCACTCCGCTACTCATTCGTTTGCACTGGCTGCCAGTTGCTGCTCGCATCAAATTCAAAGCACTGATGTTTGCCTACAAAGCAATTTCTAGCTGCGCCCTTTCTTATCTGCTCTCACTTCTGCAGATTTATAGGCCTTACAGAAACTTGCGTTCTGTGAATGAACGTCGCCTCGTTGTTCCATCCCAAAGAGGGAAGAAAACGCTTTCTCGAACTCTCGCGTTCAATCTGCCCAGTTGGTGGAATGAACTCCCTAACTGCATGAGAACGGCAGAGTCACTCGCTGTCTTCAAAAAGCGACTAAAAACTCAACTATTTAGTCTCCACTTTCCTTACTAATATGCAACTCCCTACACTAACTACAAAAAAATAAAAAAATTACTAATGCTTTCCTTCTTAGACTTTACACACCTGAAACTTGCCTACAGCACATATTCATTGTTGCTCTTATAGTTGTGTAAATTGCTTCATTGTCCTCATTTGTAAGTCGCTTTGGATAAAAGCGTCTGCTAAATGACTAAATGTAGATGTAAATGTAAATTCAGCCCATATAAATTGTTTGCAACCACTTACCTTAAAATAAAATTGAGTAAATCTGATTAATCATTTTTTTTGTGCATGTGTACATCATGCAGTGTTTACAGTATATACAGTAAGTATAAGAAAAGGCCATACGTTCTGTCTATTACGCATTAAATGCATCATTGGTATTATTATTTAAAGAGCCCCTATTATGGGTTTTTGAAAATGACCTTTCATGTGGTGTGTACCACAGCTCTATGTGAAGTGAAACATCCAGCTAAGGCTTAAATCTGAAAGTGCACAGTGTTTAAAACTGTTAATTCATTTATAAAAGAGTCGACTCATAGTGCTTCAAATGTATCGTCTTGATAACGAGTCTTTAGCCGTTTCGGCCTGACGTCGATATTAAACTTAAGCCCCGCCCAATTGTTGCGTGCAAACCCAGGAAAATTGAAACCTGTAGCCCCGCCCACAAACACAGTAGCAAAAAAAAAGAGGAAGACAAAGACTGTAGATCCTGGTTGAATCAAGTCATGAAGACACTGTGCTCAGCTGGATATTATTGGAAGTGTGAGGGAAAGTTAGTGTTATTTTCTTGACCCAAATTACGGGACTTTTCCGGAATAAATAACAAAACGAGTGGGTAGCTATAGATAGGTCTGAAATATGGGAGACTCCCGGGAAAAACAGGAGTGTTGGCAAGTATGCTGACACACACTATGCACTCTACTTCAATATTGTTGATAGTCTCACTTTGAACGCTGTCAACCAATCGCAACAGGCTGTCATCGGTCCAATCAGCACAGATTAGCTTTGCACTAAGGAGGGGTTTGGGAACAAATAATTCGCTGAATGGATTATATTGGAGTCTCTGGGATAACTAGGTAAAAATAAATGCGTATTATAAGACCATGAAAGTGTTTTTTGACCTTGCATGCATATCAGCCTGTTGTTCGAGACCCTTAAAACCAAAATATGACCCTTTTTATTGTATGATAGGGGCTCTTTGAGTCCTTGAATGTGATATTAGATGCTGTATACAGTATTTGAGACATATATTGATGCATATAAAGGTGCATTTTTGCAAAAAAATAGATGGAAAATTCTATGCGCTGAGTCCCAATTATAAACTCCAGAAGGGCTTGTGACAGGTAAGACAAGCCAATCTCAATGTGACAGGAGCAAAACAGAAAAGAGAGAGAGAGACAAATAAGACTATTATTGCCTAAAACAAATCATAAATCTCAGCACACAAATAATATCAAATTGCACACACCAGCAAAAGTGCAATACGCAGTTATTTATCCTATATAATGTGCTGTCAGCATTTCAGACATCTAATTTAAAATGGTTCATAGATGTATTTGTATATATATATATATATATATATATATATATATATATATATATATATATATATATATATATATATATATATATATATATATATATATATATATATGTATTTGATAATCTGCCTTTCTCTCTCTCTCTCTCTCTCTCTTTATCAGACAAGACTGATGAAGGTCAAGAGACAGAAAGGTTACACATAATACATTTTTAAGCAAGTAATGATAATATGTGCAATCATTTGTTTGCTTTTCACACATTTTACATGGTGGTTTTCTTCTTTTTAGGTGATTTCATCATTACTTCTGGTGTTCTGAGTTTGAACTAATGTAATGTTTGATTAAAATATGCACTGTTTGGTTTACAGTGCTGACCATCAGCTGGTATATCGAACATTTAAGCATTAAAATCAAAACAACTTGCCAAATCACCTATACTAATTCACTACTGATATCTATGCCTGTAGATCACAGATATTCATTCATTCATTTTCTTTTCGGCTTAGTCCCCTTATAATCCAGGGTCGCCACAGCGGAATGAACCGCCAGCATATCTTTTACACGGCGGACGCCCTTCCTGCTGCAACCCATCACTGGGAAAGAACACAGATATACTGTGATATTATAGATAAGTGTTTCAATTTCAAATAATCATGTCCCTTTCAACATTACAGTCTTTTAAAATCAAGTCACTATTGTCTTTCACACTTTCAATGGCTTGTCAAGCACTGAGATCCTCACAATGAAGACAGATGAAACATCTGTGTTTAAAGACGTGATTAACGTTTCTTTCTTTTGTTCAAAAGTTTGCTGAACAATCTATACATTTTACACAGAAGGGGGGTTATCATCCATATTATATGATCTGCAGCTTTTAACATCATTTAGATGATTTGTTTTGTTGGTTTCTTTCTCTGAAAGCATTTTAGAGTTTCCTTGGCTGTGTTTTAGACCATTGTCTTGATGTCCAGCCTGGTTTTATCTTCATCATCCTGCTAATGTAGATGTTTAACTAAAGCAGCTTATATTAATTTACAATGATGAAGAGCAAAGGGTTGCAAAAAAAATAATAATAATGATTTCAGCTTTTGTCTGGGCTTTCACTGCATTTCTACACCCTCCTTTCTTCATGTGTTCAATGCTTTTTCCCTGTGCCTTTCATTTTATTACACATAACTTAATTTGTAATAGAACTAGATCTGTTTTCTTTTGCGTATATGGATCTGCAAATAACAGCCTCTTCACCCTTCACCCTTGTATTAGTCCGCCCACATACAGCAACAAGTAGGGGACACTACAGTTCGACAAATATTGCAGCTGTTAAGCAGCATAATGTACTTTTTAAGATTTTTTAGTAGAGAATATAGTTGTTTAGAATGCAACTATGCAGTTTATTTATAATGATAGTGCCTATTTTAAATATTTATGATTTCTGAGAGACAGCACATCGGTGGCCATTAGGCTGTCTTTGAGCAAAGATGGTTGACATTGTTTTTCGAAGGTTAAATATTGTGATCTCCCGATTGCAACAGAGAAATACTGGAAAATCTCTGTAGACTGATGGCATTTCATGCTGTTCATGCTTATAATCTTAAAATGTCAGCAAAATCAGATGTTTTGTCATCACTTTAGACATTACACTAGAGAATCATTCAAATACTACGTAGTATTTGTCTTATGTGACATTTGTGAAGTAGCAACAGTTCCTGCTGTTCTGATGGTCAGCTGTAGATGTGAATCAATGGCAGAAGAAAGTAGTTCCTCTTACAAAAGAGTTTTTAGACTCCCGTGTTTGATTTTCTTTTTTTTATACACAATTATGCCATCAAACTGTTGTATAAACGCAATATCACACTCATAATAGGGCGATGTGGCTGCATATCATCACTGGTTTGACACTAAAGGCTGATTTATACTTCTGCGTCAAGCGCACACATATGTTACGGCGCAGCCTACGCGTGGACGCATAGCCCTCGCTGTGGCTGTCGGCGTCGCTGACGCACACCTGTCAAAAAGTGTTACTACATGTCGCTACATCGCGTAGGTCGAGCTCGGTGATTGGTCGGCTTAGTAGTCATGACGAGTGTGGGCGGGACCAAGAGCTGCACGAGCTTGATAAAGTGATTTTTACAAGTGTGAGTCCCATGAAGGAGCACCGGATGGAAAGTTTTGTTTTGTGTTTACCTCATGGTTAAAGTTGTTGGACGTTCGCTGGTTCCTGCCTGAAAATGAGCAAGTTTAAACCCCTTGTACATTAAGGAAGCGTTCAGAAAAAACAAAACACCAGCAAAGAAACTCGACAAAGAGGAACATAAACACCTTACTGCCAACTAGTGTTTCGGAAGTATTATTGCAGAGCAACAGAAACAGCGCACAGAAGTATGAATGCACAGCTACGTGCGTTGCATGCGCCGTGTATCACGCTGATCACTTGAAACAGAAGTATAAACCAGGCTTAAGGCCCCAATGCACCAATATACAGCCATAATGCACTGCTACTCATTGATATTGCTTATATATAGTGCATTTGAAGGTATATTTTCAACATAGTGTTCAAAAGGTGTTAAAAACAAGCTAACACATTTCTCATTATGATGTGATGTAAATTTGTCATGCACTCTTAAATTACAAACAATAATAAACATCTAGTAGGTAGTGCTGTCGCCTCACAGCAAGAAGGTCGCTGGTTCGAACCTCGGCTCAGTTGGAGATTCTGTGTGGAGTTTGCATGTTCTCCCTGCCTTCGCGTGGGTTTCCTCCGGGTGCTCCGGTTTCCCCAACAGTCCAAAGACTTGTGGTACAGGTGAATTGGGTAGGCTAAATTGTCCGTAGTGTGAATGTGTGTTTAAATGTTTCCCAGAGATGGGTTGTGGCTGGAAGGGCATCTGCTGCGTAAAAACTTGGTGGATGAGTTGGCAGTTCATTCCGCTGTGGCGACCCCGGATTAATAAAGGGACTAAGCCGACAAGAAAATGAATAAACATCTAAAACATACTTCATTTATAAAATTAGAGATCAACTGAATGTGGTTTTTAACAAACACAAACACACACACACACACACACACACACACACACACACACACACACACACACACACACACACACACACACACACACACACACACACACACACACACACACACACACACACACACACACACACACACACACACACTGACTGTAAGTTGTTAGGTAAATGCATTTTTAAAATGGTCATTTATGACATGAAATAGATGCAATAGTCAATAACTAACTACAGCAAGATTTTCTGAGGTCAAATATCTTACCTGCTTTGTTTCTGTAAGACTCACAATGTAAGACAAACAATTGTGTTTATTTGTAAACTTTTTTGTTTTTCCAAGTTTGCATTCAAGGATAGACTAATTTAAATGGGATGAATACTTTTAAAACTCCGTCCATTGTCTGCTATTGTTTGTGCTGTGCATGCTGCTTCATCCGTTTGGTTTTAACTTATTAAACCATTATGCAATTTGAATCAATTCATGCTTTTGTCCTGTTTCATTCTCTACAGACTAAAACGTGACACACAGTTAACATCACCGCCTACCACGTATTTTGTATCACTGCCACCCAGACGTTTATAAAACCCATTGTTGTATTTTCATATTTTGTGTGATGTTTTGGCCGCCTCCATCTACCTCCGGAGTCTCAAAGATATTGGCAGAAAGCTGTAGAAAAATCAAACGGCACAAAAACACTTCTGACTATCATCGCAGCCCACTCCTCCCGCTGTTCTATTGTGTCTGACCGTGAACTGCTTCTTAAATAACAGAAATGTGCAGTTACATGTTTTAAAACTCACAGTACACACAGTGAAGCAAAACCCATGCAGAGGAAGATGTTTATTGCTGAGGTTTTTCCAAGTCAAAAAAATTCTGTTAAATTTATGTATTTATATTATATTATATTATATCATATATTATATTATATTATATTATATTATATTATATTATATATATTTTTTAAATATATTTAATAAAAAACAGCTGTGCGGGCATTAGGAATTCAGAGACCCCTGGCAACAATGTCTTGTAGGCCCCCTACCCAGCAACACCCCATAAATGAATTAAAAATAAAAATAATATAACATTTTTAAAATAAAATTTATCTATAATATATTTGCCTGCATTTTTTAAATAAATGATATACAGTACACATATTTCTAGTCTACAAAGATTTAACTTAATTTTAAAGCATTTAAAGCACACTTTGAAAAAAAAAATACTAATACAACTAGTGAAAATTTATGGATTTTAATATACTTATTCAAGTTCACCGAAGCAGTACAAAAACTATATTTCAGGGTATTTTTAATCTATAACTTCTACACACTTATAATGCATATGATTTGGACACCTCTCCAATCCAGTTCTATGAAACCTCCATAATACACACACACTTATTAATGATTCCTACTTGTCTTCTTCATGATGAAGAGTAGGCAAAATCTGATATGTAGTGGGGGATAAAAAGACGGAAGTGTTCATCAGATGCTGGATTCGAATCTGATTCATGATCAGTTATGTCAAAAGATATTGCTATGCACTTTACGCACTACGCCACTCACGCTGCTGTCTGTTGCGCTCTTTAGTTATGTTGTCTATGTCAATCAATAAGTGATGGGCAGGAATCGTTTAACTAGCTTATTCTAAAGAGGTGCACTTTTTGCACTTAGCCTAAATAGATAATGCAAAATGGGCAACCTCTCTCCCCACCCCCCATGGGCTCCTGGGCCTTTGCCATAATCCTTGTTGGTTAATCCAGCCCTGTACCTGTGGTAGCCAGATGTTAGCAATTTAAAATTTCAATAATTCACACCATTTACTACTGGCTTAGTACCTGCATATAATTAAGATATTAACTATTTCTTAGTATTTAAAAAGTATGATCTTATTTTACATCCCTAATCCTACCCAAATACCTAAACCCAACTACTACCTTACTAAATATTTGTTAGCAGCTACGAAGCAAATTTACATTTTGGAAAACATTTTTACCCCTCATAAAACACAATTACATAGGAATTTTTTTTTACCAAGGACAAAACAAATTTACATTTTAGAAAAAATAATTATCAAGATGCAAAACACTTTTACCAGTCCTGAAACAAATTTACAATGACAGATTCTTTACGGAAAGAGAATGTACCACACACCAGAAGTGACGCGAAATGACCACACACTGGAAAATATCAGCTTGTGTGTGACTTTGTAGACACAGGTTAATGATAGTCCAAAGACAACATACTGTTTTCTACAACTATTAAAAAAATGGTTTGCCCAACTGCGATAAAATTTTTTTGTCATTCATATGGAATAAAATCGCTGTCATAAATATTTAGTGCGAATAAAATTCAGGCATCTGTCATTATAAAATCGTAAAGAAAAATGGAACGT